GAGATGTTTATTAGCATTATGCAGAATGATGTGTTGCTTACTGAAGAAGAAGCTTACCAATGCACATGGGCAGCAACTGCAAACTGGACTGGAGGCAAGGGAAAGAACTTAGAGATTGATCTCATGCAAGAGAATCGTAACAGAGATTTGAAGCAGATCATCAAGAACATGGGTGCCAACAAGACAGACAAAGCAATAGAGCGGGCAAGTAAAGCTGTAGGTGGCATAAGGAAATCAATGCAGAATTTTGATGCCCAAGTGGCAATCCATCGAAAATCTAGTGCCCATAGTCACAAATCATCATCTTCAGATGAACTGAAAATTTTGAAGGACTTGCGTGATTTAAAGCCTTTCACATGTGAAAGCAAGAGAAAACATAGCTCATTTCCAGACGTGTCATCTGACCCACTACATGATCTTGATGAAGGAAAATTCAAAGAATGGCTCAATAGACATAAGAAAAACTTATTATACAATGTAACAGCAACAGAAGATGCTGAAGAAGGAGATAGTGATAAGGCTGACAATTAAAAAAATGACTTGTAATACTATGCATACTGTACAAATAATGATTGGGAATGTTTACTTAACTAAAATTAAGTTCCAATTTAATTTCATTGTGTATATAGATTTTATAGCCATTAACTGGATTTTGATCAGCCAAGTGTACAAATTGAACATTGATTGTTGCCCTCACATGCAAGAGCAACAACTCTTTTGTATAGTAATTGGGATATAATCATGGTATGAATAGTAAATTGCACTTGTTCTCAATGTATTAATGAAAAACTGCACTTGTGTTTCGGGAGATAATATTTAGTATAAATACACATGCAATTTCTTATTTTCTCATATTTTCTCATTGAACTATATGCCATTTCCTATACATACAAATGTTCAATTTGTTAATATTCTCAAACAAAAATTCAATTAAACACCATTTAAAGGTTTTGTATTTTTCAATTAAATTCATTTGCACCTACACTTTTACGGAATCATATATCTTTACCATGTTTCTTGATCACCTAAGTTAATTAATTACATCTTACAACTAACACAATCACATACCAAACTGCAATTGCTACAGCAAAAGTGGCCAACAACCTGTTCTTGGGTGGAAAGTGTCACATCTAAACAATCTAAAAGAAATTTCCTCATGCATGAATAATCTAAGTTGCAATAGTCCCTAATTTCCTCAGTGATCCCTTTCCTGTTCTTTGCAATGTCTTTATTATTATAATACAACACAGCCGTTGAGGCAGATCCATCTCTGCCTGCTCGTCCAGTTTCTTGCATGTACTCCCTAACAGTTCTAGGTGGTCCAATATGGATAATGTTTCTGATTGAGGGCATATCCACTCCCATGCCCATTGCAACTGTGGCGAAAACAACTCTCAACTTTGAACCAGGGTGTGCAAGTTCGTTCAAAATATGTTCCTTCATGGTAGCAGTTTGTGGCGAGTGGAATTGGGAGAATAATCGATTCTCAGGAATTGTGTCTGCGCCAGTTGGAAAATATTGCTCCTGGCCTAAAATTCTTTCAAAGAGCCTATATGCAAATCCACACCATCTTAAGTTGAGATAAATAATTGTCATGGGAAATTCAGTTTTTTGTTCTAATAGCTTCATTGCAATTGGTGTTAAAATTTCTTCATATGATTCAATATCTGGACCATTCCTGAAAACCTTCTTGAAGAAAATATTTGTTCTGTTTAAGCTTCCTACAACTTCCAGTGGATTCCTCATGTGCAAGGTGCTCTTTATTACTTCTCTATCTTTTTTGCTTGCAGTTGCAGTAAGTGCTAAGACTGGAACTGATGGAAAAAGAGAGCACAGCATACCAAGATAGGAATAGTCAGTCCTAAAATTATCACCCCTAAAACATAAAAATATTTCATGTTTGGTGGTATGTAAACATAAAATTGAATAATCAAACATTCACTAAAATCAGTCAGTTATTTATAGTTTGGAACAAATTTTCAAACATAAAAAAATATTGTTCAACTTACCACTCCAAAATGCAGTGAGCTTCATCGACAACGATAACTTCGACCGATTTTTGGTACGGCGAAGACTGGAATAAATCCATTCCTGTTTTTGACGACAAACATGCCTCCGGATGAAGAAACATGATGTCAAACAATGCGTCCTTTATATCAGGTGCCTCACAGAAACTGGTGGAATCTTTTTCGAGAAATACTGCTTTCAAATCCGCGCCGTTATTTAGCTTTCTTAGTTGATCACAAATAAGAGAATTTAGAGGTGAAACAACAAGAATAACAGGAGTATTATGGCTTAATTCACGACCAAATCGTATTTGTTCAAAGGTATTTCGTTCGTTCAGCAATGATGGCAGCAATTGGTATATCAATGATTTTCCGTAACCTGTAGGTAAAACAGCGACACAGTCTTTCTTTTTATAAAGCGCCTCCAAGCACTTCACTTGTTTTGGCTTCAAATTTATATTGTTATAAATAACACTTTTATTGATAGCGGTATG